GGTCTGCCAGAGCCTGACGACCCCCTCCCTGGAGGTCTCGCGGCGACGACGCGGCGGACGAGCGAGCACTCCTGCGTGCTCCGCCCCCGCCCCCGCCCGCTCCCGGGGCCGCTCGCGTCGTCGCGGCCGGGCCCGCCCCTCGAGAGCCGCGGTGGACACGCACGCCAGGGCATGTTTTTTTTTTTTTTCGTTGGGGAGTGTCCTCGGGCTCAGCACCAGGCCTCTCGTGCGCTGCCTCGGTCATCCCTCCTGGTCGGCTGCCGTTGCCGCCTTCCCGCCGCGCCTCGCCGGGTTGTGTCGGCCCGCGCTCCCGCACTGGTGCCTCCACGTCCTCGCTCCCCCTCCTGCTTCTTCCTCCCTGTTCTTCCGCTGCCTCGTCCCTCCACTACTACTACTACTACTACTACTACTACTACTACTACTACTACTACTACTACTACTACTACTACTACTACTACTACTACTACTACTACTATCACTACTAGTATTACTACTACTACCACAACTATTACCTACGACATACTACATAGTACGTATCACTTGCTATTTACTGCTACTGCTATTACTACTACTACTACTACTACTACTACTACTACTACCACCACTACTACTACTACTACTACTACTACTACTACTACTACTACTACTACTACTACTACTATTACTACTGTTACTAACATTCCCATTACTACTACGAGTACTACTACTACTACTACTACTACTACTACTACTACTACTACTACTACTACTACTACTACTACTACTACCAGGGTCAAACCTCACCTTCGTGTCTACTCTGAATGAATGGGTAAGGGTAAGGGTAGGGGTTCGGGTTCGGGTTCGGGTTCGGCTCCACACAATCAGTTAAAACCACATAGAATAACATAGAAGAGTCGGAGTTTAGTCGTACACGAAGCAGGAGTTCGGAAACCCACAATTTCGCCATTCGCTGATAGGAAAACAATACAAGGGCTACAGAGCAAATAGTTCACGAAGATGAGGTTCGGAAGCCCACTGATTCTAATAGTACACGAAGAAGGGGTTCGGAAACCCACAATTTCGCCGTTCGCTCGTAAGAAAACAATACAGGGGCTATAGAGCCAATAGTACACGAAGGTGAGGTTCGCAAACCCGTTGTGGAAAACGAGAAAACAGCGTTCCTCTTTTCCTGTTCGCTTTCCTCTTCCTCATCCTCCTCCTCCCCCTCCTCCTCCTCCCCCTCCTCTTCCTCCTCCTCCTCCTCCTCCTGCCCGTCCCCCACCTCCTCCTCCTCCTCTCTTCTCCTCCTCCTCCTCCTCCTCTCATCCTCTTCCTCCTCCTCCTCCCTCCTTCCTCGTCCTCCTCCTCCTCTCCCTCCTCCCCTCCTCCTCCCTCCTCCCCTCCCTCTCCTCCTCCGCCTCCCTCCTCCTCCTCCTCCGCCTTCCGCCTTCCTCCTCCTCCTCCTCCTCCCTCCTCCTCCTCCTCCTCCTCCCCCTCCCCCCTCCTCCTCCTCCTCCTCCTCCATCCTCCTCCTCCTCCTCCTCCTCCTCCTCCTCCCTCCTCCCTCCTCCTCCTCCTCCTCCCTCCCTCCCCTCTCCCCCTCCTCCTCCTCCTCCTCCTCCTCCTCCTCCTTCTAACCATCACGAACCAGAAACGAATAAAACCAAAATGCCTTCCCGAATAAAACCAGAACGACGTCCTTATGAAAACCCACCCTCAAGTGGACCAGAGGGCCACGATCCTCGTGAGGGGTGTTCCGGCATTGGGCGTCGGTGGGGCGTCGGCAGCGCTCCACATTGGGCCAGGGCCACGATCCATGTGAGAGGTGTGCCGAACTTCAGCGTCGGGTGGCGATCCAAATGTGGCGAGGTCTACGATCCGTGTGAGGGGTGCGCCGATATTGCTCATCGGTGGGCCGTCGGCAGCGCTCCCAGGTGGGCCGGGACACGATCCTCGTGAGCGGCGTGCCGGAATTGGACGTCGGTGGGCCTTCGGCAGCGCTCCCACTTGGACCAGGGCCACGATCCTAGTGAAGTGCGCGCCTACAGCCTTTACAGCGAATAGTGCACGGAGGTAGGCATTGGCGCGAAAGGCACGAAGGCCAGGTTTGAGACTACGGTTTTCGTAATTCCCCTGGTAGGAGTTCTATTAGGCATGATACAATAGAAGAGTACACGAAAGTGAGGTTTGTAGCGACACGAAGACTAGGTGCAACCCTACTACTACTACTACTACTACTACTACTACTACTACTACTACTACTATTACTACTACTACTACTACTACTATTACTACTACTACTACTACTACTACTACTACGACTACTACAACTAACTACGACCACTACGACTATTAATAACTACTACTACTGCTGCTACTTGATAACACTACTACTACGACTATTACCACGAATTACGAAACTACTACTACTATTATTACTACGTCTACTACTACTGCTTCGACTACGACTACGACTACTACTACTACTACTACTACACTACTACTGCTACTGCTACTATAGCTACTACATAATACTACTCACTAACTTACTACTCACTACTACACTACGAACTACGGCTTTACTACTGACTACTACTACTACTAATAGCTACTACTACGACTAACTACGACTACTACTACTACTGCTCTGCTACTACTACTACTACTACCAACCACTACCACTACCACTAACACCCCGTACTACTTACTACTAACTACTACTAACTACTACTACTATTATTACTACTCATAACTCTACACTACTACTACACTACCCACTGTACTACTGCTACTATCAGAACGACACGACTACTATTACTTCCACTACTAACTACACTCTAAATTCTACTACTACTACTACTACACTACTACTACCACTGCCACTACGATCTACTACTAACCAGTAGCACTACGACTAAACTATACTACTAAACTACTCCTACTATAAACTACTACGACTACTACGACTACTACGACTACTACGACTACTACGACTACTACGACTACTACGACTACTACGACTACTACGACTACTACGACTACTACGACTACTACGACTACTACGACTACTACGACTACTACGACTACAACTACCACTACTACTACTACGACTACTACTACTACTACTACTACTACTGCTACTGCTACTGCTACTACTCCTAGTACTACTATCACTACTACTACTACTACTACTACTGCTACTACTCCTACTCCTACTACTACTACTACTACTACTACTACTAGTACGAGTACTACTACTACGGCTACTACTTCTACGAGTACTACTACTACTACTACTACCACCACCACCAGCACCACTACCACCACTACTACTACTACTACTACTACTACTACTAGTACGAGTACTACTACTACGGCTACTACTTCTACGAGTACTACTACTACTACTACCACCACCACCAGCACCACTACCACCACTACTAACTACTACTACTGCTATACTACTACTAACTACTACTACTACTACTACTCCATTAACTACGGCTACTCTACGACTACGACTACGATTAAAGAACACGCTACTTTCTACTAATACTAACTACTTCTACTACTACTACTACTCTACTAACTACTACTGCTACGAACGACTACTACTACTACTTCTACTACTACTACTACTACTACTACTACTACTACGACTACTACCACTACTATTACGATTACGCTTACCACCACCACTACTACTTCTACTTCTTCTTCTTCTACTACTACTACTATTATTATTACTACTACTACTACTACTACTACTACTACTACGATTGCTGCTGGTCTTCTATGGGTGGATCCAGTTTCTCCACGTCTCGTGATCCGGATCAGGGCGCGCCCGCTCGCTTGACCGCTGCGCCACAAGTAAGTGTGCGTGTGTGGATTGGACTGCACTGGCGCTTCGCGCCGTGCACCTTGGTCGCTATCTTGGTCATCCTTGAGGCCGTCATGTGGGCTTCTTGGGTTGTCTTGAGGCCCTTTTGGGCCGCCGTGGGGCCATCGTGGAGGCCCCTGGGCCGTCTTGAGCCGACGGAGCTCCGACAAGGGGAGAGCGGGAACATCCTTCAAACCCGAGGGACACGATCCAGTTTTGGCTTCTCCAGTCTTGCTGGAGGTTCTCTTGGAGAGCTCTCTTGGCCGCCTCGCCTCGGGTGCCTTCTCTCGAGGCACGTCTTGGGCCTTCGTGTGGGCCATCCTGGCGGCATCGGTGGCAGGCCTGGGCCGTGCTGGAGGCCTTGGGGGGGGCAGCCTGGGCGCCCAGGAGAGCGCGCGCCAGAGAGGCATCGGCCCAGCCGAGGCGTAGGGTCTAGGTCAGTTCGGGGAGGGTGCCCTAATATCGGGGGCGGCAAAGAGGGGGGTGATGCCGGGGGGGGGATATCATGGCGTGGGCCATGATATCTCCCCAGATTTCATGGCGCCTCGTCTTGTTTCATTACGTCCCCGGCCCACCCCCTGGGCCGCGCACGTGCCGCCGGCCATGATTTGCACCGCCCCCTTTTGGGCGCCCCCCACCTGGCCGACCCCGATAACATCGTGTTCGTGTTTGCTGGGTGCTCTCGTGCACCTCGGGGGAGGGTGCCCTCGGACGTTCTGCCGCTTTTGGCTGGCGGAGGGTCGCGCGTTCTGGGAGGAGGTTCTTCTGTGTCCAGGTCCGACCGCATTACGGAAGTTTTATTACTAGACAGCACCTGGCATTATACCACGCCTCAAAGGGACACGGTGGCGGATCCCCATCTGGCGCACGCGGTGGGAACTCTCTCTCTCTCTCTCTCTCTCCAGCTTGTGACCTCCCTTGGCTGCAAGGACGGACTTGCGCATAAATAAGAGCCAGCTTTGAAGTGCGTGTCGCATGGAAAGCGACACCCCGAGTAGCTCTTTGGTGCCTGCTGTCTTCAGTCTACAGTCTCGGGGCAGCTCGGGAACTATCGCCTCCATGGGTCTCTCCTCCTCCTCCTCCTCCTCCTCCTCCTCCTCCTCCTCCTCCTCCTCCTCCTCCCTACTCCCTCCTCCTCCTCCTCCTCCTCCTCCTCCTCCTCCTCCCCCTCCTCTGCCCATCTCCCCCCCCCCGCTCCCCCCGCTCCCCCCGACCCCCGCGGCCGCCCCTCTCTCGGGGCGCGAGGCCCTCCCGCCGGAGCTGCGCACCTCGACCCCCGGGACGCAGCTCGCCCCGCTGAAGCCGGACCGGGCGGAGGAGGAGGGGGAGGAGGAGGAGGAGGAGGAGGAGGAGGAGGAGGAGGAGGAGGAGGAGGAGGAGTAGGCGCACGCACGCACGCACGCACACACACAACGCAACGCAACGCAACGCAACGCAACGCAACGCAACGCAACACAACACAACACAACACAACACAACACAACACAACACAACACAACACAACACAACACAGCACAGCACAGCACAGCACAGCACAGCACAGCACAGCACAGCACAGCACAGCACAGCACATCACACACACACACACACGCGCACACAGCGCCAAGTTCACCGCGCTCGTGGGCGAAAAGCATCTCCGTATCCACGGCCTCACGGGCCAGGCCTCTGGGCCGCGACCCCGCTGACCTGGTGCGCTTTTTTTTTCACGGATGCCCCGCGCGGAGCTTATCCGTGCGACCCCGTGTCCGCGGGATCGCGCCCTGGAGAATCCAGGCCCGCGAGGGCGCCGGATGCGGACACGTCCGCCGCTCGTTGCGCACTGCACTGTGCAACTCTGCTCCCGCTCGGACGCGCCGCGCGGCTTGCGCTTAAACATGTGCGTCGCCGCTCGCGCGGCCTAGTCACCAGCCAGCGGGTTGGGGGAAACCGTCGATTGTTGAGCATAAGCTAGTGTGGTGGGGGCGTTGGTGAGGGAATGTGCCCACGAGACTTCAGATCCTGGTGGATTCTTTATCTGATGAGGACGGCAGTGGTGTCCATGGTCAATCCACAATTGTAGTTCCACTGGCTTCCGGACCGTGGATTCCTCATCCAACGGTTCCTTCTCCAATGCCCTCGGCGTAGCAACAAGAGCACGAGGAGGAACATAAGCACTATATTTTTTGGGCAGCAGCAGCAGCCGTAGGAGTCAGTAGGCGACGGAGGGGGGCGCCTTCTCTGGGAGGACGTGCTCAAGAACTACAACATGCCGGCCCCGCCTCCAAGGCTGTCGGGCCTGTCTGTGGCTGCGCCCGCGCAGCAGGACAGCCAGCCTCAGGAGGCGCACAGGGCGGCAAGTTTGCCTCTACGCAGCCTCGTCGTCGTCGTCCTCTTCCTCCCCTGTTAATGTCCCGCCTGTTCCTCCTCCTCCGCTTCCTTTTCTTTCTCCTCCTCCTCGTCGTCGTCGTCGTCGTCCTTCTCCTCCGCCTTCTGCTCCTCCCTTTCTTCCGTAGCCATTTTGGCTCATGCTTGCCTTGGGCGTCAGGGGGGCTGTGCGTCCGTGTCTTTCCCTGCTGCTTCTGCGCTCGAGAGCGGCTCAGCCCTTCTTCTCCCCTTCGCCGCGTCCTGTGGCCATGGAGGGGGACTGCCCAGCGGTGAAGGCCACGGTGGCTGCGGGGGGCCGACCCGTGTGGGGAGGCCCAGGGGCGCTGCGAGCGCTCGAGGCTGCCTCGCTGGGCGTTTCTGCTGCCCGCAGGGCCGCGCGCAGGCGACGCCTGGCGGCGGCGGAGGCCGCCGCTCCGAGGCGGGGCGGCCTCGGCTCGTGGCGGGACCCCGAGGCGGCTGCACGGCCTGCGCGGATGCCTGCGGCGAGCGGCCGCCGCGTCCCGGCCTCCCGGAGGCGACGCCGCAGCGCCGCGCCCCTCGCGGCGCGCATCCCCGCGGGGGCTCTGCCGCTGCGTCGGCCGCCCCCCTGGCGTGGGCGGCGGCCGGGCCGCGCCCTGGCGAGGACTTCGGGCTCGTGCTGCGCGTGGCGAGGCTGGAGGCTCGGCTTCTGGACGCTGGGAGCGCCGACGCCGAGGTGCGGGTGGACGCGCCTCTCCTCTCCTTCCCCGGCGGCGCTGGAGGAGGAGGAGCAAGAGGCGTACGAGTACGACTGCGACTACGACTGCACCGATGTGGAGGCGGGCTCGCGATGGTATGCCCCTGGCGGCTGGCGGCCTCGCGATTCCGAGTCGGAGGCCATCGCTTTCGGCTTCGGGCTGAAGGCGGGCTGGCGGCTAGCGGTGCTCCAGACCGAGCGCGTGGAGTCCGTGCAGAAGCATAGCGATGGCCCCGTGGGCTGCGACATCGACGTGAACGGGGACGTGGCGAGCGACGGCCCCGTGTGCGTCGACATCGATGTGAGCGGGGGCGTGGTCGAGTCCCAGTGCGGCGTGGAGAACCGCAGCCCCGTGTGCGGCGAGCTTCCCGCAGCTGGCGCCGGCAAGCATTTCGACGTGAGCGGGGACGTGTGCAGCGACTTCACGCCGCAGCTCGGCGACGCCATGGCGCACGTTGTCGAGGAGCAGGTCGACGCGGGCGACTTGAGCTCGGAGGACTTCGAGCTCGCGTGCCCAGGCGGCCACAAGCTCGCCTTGCGCCGACGACCACCTTTCGCCTCCGAGTGCGAGTGGTGCCACCGCGTGAACCCCGCCGCTCCCCCACCTGCTGGTGCGCTGCCTGCCAGTACGCGGTGTGCGAGGAGAGCTTCGGGTGGGCGCGCTGAGTCGGGCAGGCTCGGCGG